ATCCTCCATCGATTGCATTTGTGTTTGTTCTGTTGCTTATTGTCATTTTATCTTCCAGTTTTGAGTTTTTCTTGTACAAGTCTTGGGGACAAGACTTAGATTAGTGGGAGAGAATTGTCATGACATAAAAGGTTGAAAATAGAATTAGTTAATAATATAGGGTCTGGGATTGCAATTATTTAATAAGTTGTAACTGCAGTCGGCTTAAAGGCAGACTTGCCGAATTGTGACGAGTTATCGAAGAAAATGTTTGAAATTACTTTCCCTTTCTTTCTCTCTAATCCTAATTCCTATCTGTGTATATGGAATCCCTAAATTCCGTTCCTGACAGTTGGATACATACGTCTTAATTGAAGAGGAATCAAGAGATCGATCCCAAACCCAAAACTTAAAATCCAATTTTTTTGTTTTAAGTTTGCAGAGTCCTTAGTAAGTTCAGACTGTTGGACTAAATTAATGGACCAAATTACACCATAAAACCAAGGGTTACTAAAAGATTACTCAAATGATTACTTATGCTCGGCTTAAACAGGCCATCGAGCTATTCTATAAACTAGGTTGACAGTGACCGCACAAGGTGCGATTATTGGAGATATAAACCTGTGGTGAAGTTTAAAAGAATTTGTTAAAATCAAATTAAAATAAAAATTTGTAAACTACTTAGATTGCATTATGGTACAAATATATTTCATGGAATATATATTACAAATGTACCGTGACCTTATTAGTGAGAGTGCAAACTCATTGAAAGTGGAAGATCAATCCGTGATAAAAGAAACAACTTTCAAACCATAGTGATTGCTCATTCTCCGTAACTCTTCAGTTCTTAGGACTTGAGTATCATGGTGAAGTTTCAAATTTTCAGCTCTAACAATATGCTCATCAATGCCTATATGATGTCAGCACTTACTGTTTCAATTGGTTCTGAAGATGGTATTGGTAAGTCATTTTCTGGCCGACTTGAAAGCAGATCAAATTATTGTCACTTCTTTTCCCGTTTTCTTCCTTGGGTGCGGCCAGAACAGAGGGTATCCAAGGGTGTCACATAATCACTCTATTCAGTATAACTATTTCATATACCTCTTCAATTGGCTCCAGTAGCCATGACTGTGACTCTACTGTTGTATATATCTGAAGCACCATTTTCAAACGACGGCAAAGCAATCGTATTTACCGAAAATGACTTAAAACAAGTATTCCTTTGAATAAACAATGGTACTTCATGGCTGCATTACGGATATTTGTCAGTAGCCTTTTATTCTCGCATATTGTGCATACTGTAACTCCAATGAATCTCACATTTACTCTCCCAGCGGGAAACCCAACAGAAAATACAAAACTCCTTTAATGTTTGATGAGCACACCTTATTGTATCTTTCTTTCTGCCTGGATAGCTTTGTACGTCGTCATAACTTCCCTAAACCTAGCTTCAACAACCTCTGCCACAACAAAGAAGTATAAATTAGTCAAAGCGGAGATGTTAATGAGAACGAGACAGGAGGAAAGTTCCAGGAGGTGGGAGGTTTTCTATGAATTAGAAAGAAGGTTTGAAAATTAGAAGGTGGGAGCTCAATTTTATGCGCGAGGTTGACAAGTAAATTTGATGATAGTGAGATCAATTTGCACCTTTATTATTCTGGTTCTGATCCGGAGGGAGCTGCAATTCCTTTGCCCTAAAAGCTGGCTGCAACGCAAATGGAAATGAGGGCAAAATCGGTTGACACTGAAGGAAACAATAAATAAAGCAGTGCACATTTAAGCAGTGGAACTGCATTATGACAATCTTTGAAATTCTTATTAGCACACATCATGGCAAATCACATCAGGTATCATTATGCGAGAAGTGTGGAACCAATCTATCAAAGCTGATCACTTTAAAGCATCTCTCTACTACTTCCAAAAAAAAAAAAAAATGAAAAACGCATCTCACCACATAATAAACCAAAGCTGATCTAGCTACTGACCAAAGTTCTATCCTCCCACCACCAAAAGAAAGAAATGATCACCCCTTTCATTCATTATCTAAAGAATACTACTCATCACTTTAACTTTTGCCAAGAACAATTGAGCAGTCTCTCCAAAAATTATGCATAGAGATTGGAGAAGAATAACAAAGAAGCATCCAAATACCTACATCTTTTCGTGTGTGTAAGGCTTTGTCCTCGACCTGCAAAGCTCAATCATTGTTCACTAATAAAAAGTACTGGGAATTAAAACTTATTACCCACTTAGTGTTTCAACAAATTAATAACAGTTCTCTTGAGAATTTTATCGAACACTTGAATGTAGGTAAGAAAGAATAATTGACATGTATAGCAATTGGCATTAGAAACTCAAATGACAAGGTAAATTTTTTATGCACATATCTATCTAAAGTCAAGCAATATTTCATCTTATCTCAACACAATTTCATTTCATGCCAATCATCAAAGAACAAAAAAAAAAACAGCATAAACTCGGCGCTCCGTGGCGTCAATCTACCTTTCTTTGATGAGAGAACCTTCTTTTTGCCAGTGAGTTGAGGAAAGAGATTTGGAAAAGAAACCGGAGAAAGGTTTGGCAGGAGAGAGGGGAGGCGCCATTTGAACCATCACTAGCAACCGACAAACACAGGAAACGGACTGAGACGCCGCAAAGAGCAGAATAGCAGCTCATCCAATCGGCCAACAATGCTTATAGAAAAGGCACCAACAATCGTCATTATACCGTGCCATTCCAGCCTTTTATATAGGTAGATTAGAGTTCCGCTGGAATTGTCGTGAACAAATCAATTCAAGCTCAACAAGAGTTAAATCACAAATCAAACTATGAGACAAAATTATGGGTTGTGCACAACTGGTACTCCATAGTCAATTCTCTCTCTCTCCTTCCAGACTAAAGAATGTTAAAACACCTCCCAATCAACTGTGTTTATGTGAACCAGGATGTAAGGAACATTGTTTCTGTTTTGTTCATTTTGCACTAGGTTTTTTAAGAATTTTCTATTCATAACTATTTATTTCAACATATTTTTTTACATTTTTAATACACATTTTTATATTGTCAATAAAAAATCCACTTAAAACACACATTAAAAAATAATCCAGTGTTTTTTTTACCACTTTGTTTTAGTGTTTTTCTTTTCCATAACTAATTAATGTCCCTTTATAGGGGGGAAAAAACTAATTAATGTCCTCACGCGTAACTACTTGTGGAGTACACATGCGGATGTTTTGTGTACCCATGCAGATGGGAAAACCTTTTACATTTGTGGAGTACACATGGAGATGTTTAGCTAACCTCTCGATATCAACGTGAAACCTTTTAAAAGGAAGTTTATGTTTTTATACTGACTGTAAAAATAATATTCCCTCTGGTCCTTAATATAAGACATTTTAATTTATTTTAGGTTTAAACTAATATGCATTTTTAATTGACGAAAAAACCTTAAACATATTTCGTAACATTTAAGAGAATACGACGAATGTGAAAATATATTTTTAAGGTTTTTTCGTCAATTAAAAAGACGTATTAAATAAAATTTAGAATAAATTAAAATATCTTATATTAAAGACCGAAGAGAATATTTCCATTGTACTTTTCAGTGTTTGGCGGCCCCTTAGACAAAATGCTATAGGAACCCAAAAATTGAAAGGTCACAAGAGTTTATTTCTCCTGATAGGGAACCCGAAAGTATTTGACAATATGGAAAAGACCACCTTTTGAAGTTTCTCTTTCATCCTAACCACAGTTGCAAATGATTTTTTTTTTTCGTATGGTAAATTTTGTTTAAAAAATATTGTCAATTGACGTGAATATTTTCTACTAACACTTTTGTATGAAAAAACAATCACATTTGCTATCACATTCTATTAATAATACACTTGCTTTGCGAATTAATAGAACTACAAATTCATAATTTTGCATGAGGGAGAGTTTTGTCAGAACTATTGCCCTTGCTTCTTCCGATGTTGCACATAATTGTTACCTTTGATGATGCAATTAAACATCTGCCCTCTACGTTTAATGAAGTGCTCTTCCAAAATTTCACTTCCCAAACCTGACAAAATCAGCACATATTTTTTTATTATTTTTTTTAAAGAAAACATATTTTCGTGATATCTAAGTAGCTCTTCACATTTGGTCTGCATGCATGCCAAAACTTCTAGTAATAGATAAATAGGTGGAAAAACTGGATAAACCTTTAAATAGATAGCCGTACTACAGACATATAATTATTGCCTCTGTTTCTCAAGAAAGAATCACGTTTACCGTATTATTAAATATGATTTTTGTTTTTGGACACAACCAGAACATTTCAGAAGGTGCAAACTCCTGAAATATGTGTAGGAGAAATAGTTCAACTTTGACAAAGCAAATAGAAGTACGCAACAATCCACATCTGATATTCCCCCCAAAAAAATAGTCATTTTGTTAAACAAAATACAGTCAAAGTTTTCAAAAATCAAAATAGTTCAACAAAGTAAATTATATTTAAAATAAAAGAAAAAAAACGTGCACATGGCTAAACTAAAGGTGCGGAACTATATAGCCTTACTTCTATAAAAAAATATAATTCATATTAAATTTTAAATTTGTACTAAAAATAGTATTAAATTTAAAACTGAATTTTTTTTTTGGAACAACGAGAGTACATTTCTTTATAGAGTAATTAAAAAAAAAAAAAAAAAAGAAAGTGCACCTGAATAGTCTTGCCAGCGCTAACCGGGGTAGCCTCGGCAACCACGAGATCGCCAACTTGAGCCGTCTTGAGATGGTTAATGCTGAGCTGTATTCCGGCGGACCTCGTGCCGGAGGCGGTGCAGGCTCCGATACTCGCCACCCCTTCCGCTATCAACGCCGACACTCCTCCATGCAATACATTAAACGGCTGTTTTTTAGATTCACACGGATTAATCGCAAAAAAATTATTCCTTAATTTGTTTCCCCGAATTTATTAATCATCCCTTAAATTAAACGCAAATCCCACCAATAAGAAAGAACGGTTTTTTTTTTTTTACCTGACAGCATTTGGGAGTGACTTGAAACCGGCCGGAAACTTTCTCAGGCGAAATGAGGTCAATCACGAACCCGAATGCTCGAAGCGGCGGATCCAGAAAGTCTATCTTCGAGATATCTACCGGCGGTGGCGGGGACGGAAGCGACGGTGTCGATAGTGGCGGGGACGCCATCGGTCTGGTGTTGCTTTTTTAACTGTTTGGACGGTACAAGGATTTTAGTGGCGGCGACGCTTTCTTTCGTTTTTTCTTTTTTTTTGTTTCTGGTTCTTTCGTCTGAACTCTGAAGTGGTGTCGCCGTGTCTGCAAATATATATAGAAAGAGGGTTTTTTTTTGTTCGTTGACTTTTCTTAATACTTTCGTGAAGCAGCGGATTTCTGACACGTATTAAAATAATAAGAATAAATAAGTAGTATTTGGAGCCGACTGCGAAGGAAAAATGAAAAATCAACCACGACAAGCAAATTTGTTGATGATCAGTTGATCACTACGGATTTTGTTACGTGGAAAGAAAGATAGGGAAAAACGTGCGTACCATCTATAGATATATTATTCCTTGCACACCTTTTGGGCAAACATCTTGGCCTTGTTTGGCCAATATTTTATTTTAGTTTTTGTTTTAGTTTTTATTTGGATTTGAGATGTGATTTAAAATGTGATTTAAGATAAAATTTAAAAAATTATTTGGATAATATTTTTAGACCGTCACCGAACCACCTTCACCACCGGCCGTCGCCGCACCGTCCACCACCACCGCTGGCCGGCCGGATTCAGGTCAAATTCCGGCGAGTTGGCCGGATTTTGACCGAAATCCGGCCGGCCGATCACCTGCCAGCGGCAGTCCGATGGCGGTAGTAGGCGGTCTGACGGTGGCGGGTGGTGGTGGAGATGGTCCGGTGGTGGTGGACGAAAATTGTGTAAAAATAATTTTTGGAATATTTTTTAAAAGGTAAATTAAAAAGTTGTTTGGGTAGTATTAGAATTTATGTTTGAGAGGTGTTTTAAGAAATAAAATGAGACAAGATGACAAATATAAAATTTGTCCAAACAAGACCTTAATTTCTCAATAATAAATAACTTTTGAAAAACTATTCTATTTCTATATTTCGGCTAAAAATACGCCTTGACTGTTGAGATTCTAGCGTGGAAGGAGGCATTCGAGATAACACTCACTTAAAATTTGAAACTGACTAGAAGTTCAACCGCCAAGAGTTCGACTATTGCTGGAGCATAATATTGTAAGGATTACTTATCGCGGTCAAATTTCTATCTAGTCACTAGACTTTTGCCTCTTTTATTGTACAGATAAAAAAAAAAGTTGAAACTGACTGCCATTCTAGCGGTTCAAAGCAGACTATCCTTATCTGAACATTTGCAAAATAAGAATTGTCCAATATGAAAATATTGATTATTTGGTGTCAGCAGGTAGAATCATGTTGTCCAGTGCGGATTAATCGTGACAAAGTTATTTCTTTTTCGAAACAAGAACAATCAAACTTTATCATACACAAATGTTTTACGTTCTTACTTACTTCTTCTTTTATATAAAGTGAAAAGAAAAAGAATCACAATTTACCATAATCAAAGGTCTCGCTTTACTTACTCCGAAGTCCAAATTACTATTTTTTCTGAAACTTTTAAGTTAAAACATGTTTGTTTTGACTACGGAGGGAGTATATTGTAGTATAGCGCCCACCATTGCATCAGTTTTGTATAGACATATGACCAAAACTAGCTAGTTTAAAATCGAAATAAAAAATGTTTATACCCTTTTCCTTTTTTAACACTTCTTTGACACTTCAATGACCGTCTAAATTAAATAATTGTTTGTGTTTCAAAAGATGTCATCAAGCGGATTCACATCATAATTTCAACAGAAGCATACTCCTTTTCCTCGTTCAATTTTTAACTCCTTACTATAAATTTTTTTAAAAAAAAACGTGGATTAATTTTTTATCGTCAAAATATGTCAATGTGTTTCCATGTATTTGTCCCTTTGACACTGTCTGACTTAAAAGTTAAAACTAATTATGTCAAAGTTTGAAAGTAAGAAGAAACAAGATACAATAACAAGAAATTCATATGCTCTTTATACCTCATTCTAAGTCGAGCGACTTCCCAAACAGAAAAATTTCACTTATGTCTTGCATTTTGGAAAATCAAAATGAAAATATATCGTTATTTTAGCTAATGTGAGAAACCGCTAGGCATGAAACTAAAGAAAGGGAAGACTAATTTGAGTTCTCAAAAGGGATTTTTTGACCAATGCCAATTACTGTATAGTAGAATGATTAAGGTAACAACTTTTGAACTACTAAATCACCAGTATTTGGCTACATCATTGGTAGCCTAACATCCCTTAAAGCCGCCTCAAGCCCCTATTCTCTTAAAGAAAAGTACAAAGATGGTTTTTCTTTTGGCCGTAGTGACCATAGTAGTTAAATACAATTCGAAAAGTAGGTATCTGTATATTTGTCCACAAAGATTTCCATTTCAAATGTACCTAATTATTATGACCACAAAAGAATTTCCAACCACACGTGCGAATTTCTTCAAGGATATGACAATGAAATAAGGCCTTTAAAATAATTCCAAGAATTTGAAAAAATTCATTACAAATGACCAAGTAGAGTGGTTCGATCTCCCTCTTATCCGATTGGCAGGAACGTGATTTACTTAGTAATGACCAAAATTTCTAAGGGGGGATGGAAATTTTTTTAGGGTTGAAAGCTAAACGAAATGATTTTTACGTTACTTTTTGTTCAGGCCACGTACAAGGGAACCTACTTACTATTATTTAATTGTTTTACTACATTTATTTTTTTAGGTTTATACATCAATCGGAGTTTTGTACCATGTAAATAGGAATAACACAATTCATGACTCCCAAAACTTGTGAAGCCTTGGTTCTGTAATAATTTAGTTTCTAGGTTTATGTCTCTTTTCCTGTACTGGAAAAGAAAGTACAAAGACATCTGAAACGGTAGAGAGAAGTCCAAATATTATATCCATCCCAAAAAGTTCACATTGAGTGTAAATTTTTTTTACTAATTTTAGTAATAATTTTAAAACCGAATGTGAAGAAAATAGAGAGAGTATTAAACAAATGCCAATTATGTAATGACAATTCCTTTATTCTCTTGAAGGATATGGATAATGAACTCATTTTGATTGTGTGGTTTGTTGCATCAAGTGTGCTGTTTTCTTCATGCCTAACTATGTTGCACCACAAATCCACTATGGTTGCTTATAGCTAGCCATAAGCAAAATATATATATATATATATATATATATTAAACTCTATTAGGTCCAAAATTAGTTACTTCTCTGTTCTAAACTTATTATCGAGTTTAGATTTTCACTTTTAGTTTAATTTATAATAAAAATAAAAATTCATATTGAACATAATTTTAGAACGGAGAGAGTATATTTTGTATTGTTTAAGCTAACTATTTAAAAAAATTAACCTGATGAACTCGTGCATGCCGTGAGTATCTCAAACATTCCTTCTTGGACCAGGTTTTCACCATCCTAGCTATATATACCTTGAATAATGACATTACGAACTCTGAATGCTAGCTAGATGTTAGAATAAGAATACCTAATTCAGTAGATTGACGATTAAGAAGCAAACAATAAAATAAATTTTTGTACTTACATTTTGTACTGGAGTTTAAATACCATTTAATTCACTACGAGTTTCAGTATTTTACTATAAATAAACAAATTAACAAAAAATATCTTAATTAAATTATTTTGAGGCGTTAACTTCATTCATCTAATAAAATGTAATCTGAGTTTGACAAGATCTATTTAATTTTAGTTGTTCCCACAATTCTTGTTTTTCAGTTTGATAATTTTTTTGCTCGAAAGAAAACAAGGTATTCTTTATGAAAACAAAAGTACCATTCATCCTAAAATGACAACTCTTGTTTATAATCACTTGTAAAACCAAGAATTAAGTTTATCATCTTTCAATATTCTTTTGCCTCAATTTTTTTTTAAAAAATTTGTTTATTATTTTGATCAAGATATATATATTCACAAATGGGCTACCACTTCAGACTATGCTTGGAAAGTTGGTCCATGTTCTAAAAACATGTTCATCATAAATTTAGTTCGACTCAAAATAGCCCATTTTTTGAATGGTCGACCCAATTCTGGCCCAATAAGTTTTCCTGTCTTAAACCATAGAGTATATATCTGTCATAACTCATAAGTATGGTTGGTGTTATGGAATAGCCCAGAAAGAAGGATCTGGCCAAGATCCGGTTAAGAGGGAGAATAGATTTTAGAGAGAATTACATAAAAATGAGAAAGAATCAAGAAATGATTAATATTTTCATAAACTGTCAAACAGCTTCATTACACAATTAATACCCAATGATTGTGTCTAGAACCTTCCCCGTAACTGCCAATACTCAACTGCTAATTACAAATTATAACTTGTAACCCGAAACGACATCGTTCTATGAATTACTGGGCTAATAGCTAACAAATTCCGACTCCCTAAAGAACAACCTTGTCCTCAAGGTTGACAGGCAACTTCACTGGAAACGGAAAGCTGGAAATTGAGCCTTGATGAAGTCGGTGTCCTCCCATGTGCCATCTTCAGGTCCAAGATTCAGCCAACGAACCAATACCTGATTGACAGCTTCCTGATCCCGGATGATGGTACGTTGCTGAAGTACTGCTTCTGGAGCAATAATGATCAAATCATCTGGTCCTGTAAGAGGAAGAGTAGCTGATACTGCCTGAGTGTCACCAACTTTACGTTTCAGTCTTGATACATGGAAAACTGGGTGAATTCGCGACCCTGCTGGCAGCTGCAAACGATATGCTACAGCTCCAATACGCTCAATGATTGGAAAGGGTCATAAAACTTTGCAGAAAGTTTAAGGTTGCGCCAGATTTCCACAGACTGTTGACGATTGGGCTGAAGCTTTACATATACCATATCGCCTACTGCTAAAACCCTCTCAGTCCTGTGTTGATCCACAAAATGCTTCATTCTGTTCTGAGCTTCTGCTAAATGATCATATAGCATCTGAGCAATGGCGGCTCTATCCCTGATTACTTGACTGGCAGCAGGAGCTATGCTGTCACAGAGAGTTCCAAATGGCAATGATCTTGGAGTGTAACCATAGCAAGCCTCAAAAGGTGTCATCTTGAT